TTAGCAGACGCTTTTATCCAAAGCGACTTACAGTGCATTCAGGCTATACATTTTTTTATCAGTATGTGTGTTCCCTGTCACACAAGAGCGTTTTCACAAGCATTACCACTGATTATCACTGTTAGAGAAAACACACATTTGTCTAATTGAACTTGAGATTGGACTTGTGATGCCTGTGAAAACGCTTTTGTGTGACAACTATAGTCTCAGAATGTGCCTTGACTTTTCTAGTACAAAACCTTTCGCCACTATAAAGAACCTTTTTGTGCAGTGGAAAGGATCCAGGGATGCATGGATCCAGTGTCTTCACAGAACCACAGATGGCAAAAAATAAATTTTTTATAAATAATAAATAACCCTAAGAGATATTCAGTGTTAAGTGTGACAACTAGTCCCTGTTTGGCATATGTGCACACACACCAAACACAATAAGATGGTGCAGGAGAAATTTTTGCAGGGTTAGCATATTGTCACGAATATGGGCAGGGCACGGAGGTTCACTCGAGCCACAATCTCTCTCTCTCTCTCTGCTACTTCGTTTCCACTATTATTCAGGTTATACCGCTGGACAGGATGCAGCATCTGGGGACCTGGGTTCTGGGGACGCAGTATCCTCAATCTCTGGGAAAAACAGAGTGGGAAAAAGATGAATGTGTTACGCAGGACAACCTCAACAAACTCCCATCACACACATGCACTGCATGTCAGAGGGGCCCCTTTCACTCCACATCACACACACAGGTGGTCCGCAAAAAACAGTCTGACAGTGACGTTGTTACTCTCCATTTATGCACAATCAAAAAGTGATTCTGACAGGAACTGACAGGAAACGACTTTGAAGTGATTTAAAGTTAACTGTACTTCCTTGATATAATTGTTTATGTAGTTCTCATAATAATATAATGAATGTCTTCCTGATTATGTGGGAAAACAGAGTTTGCTTAGGATAAAATGGTTAATCAAAAAGCTATTGTTTGATGTTTTTGATAGTTAATTTCCTTTGTTTCTCAGAATTCTTCAAATGATCAAGTGGAATGATGTCATCTTCAGTCTCATGTACGCATTGTCATATAACATATAAGAATTTCACACCAAGTGACATATTGTATGAAAACATATCTTTGACATAAACTACAAATTCTTTAAAAATCAGGTTACTAGCAGAATATAAACCACCACAACAATCATAATTAAGATAAAATGTATAGTAAAATGAAAAAGATCTTAGGATGATTAAAGAAAAAGAAAGCAATACATGCTATAAACCCTCAACTTTCTGCTTATTTATTTATAAAAGCACATTTAGTTTGCGTTTTGATTCTCAAGTAGATTCGAATAGCAATTTATTGTTAAGATAATGCTTGTATTCAGCTAACATGTCTTAATGAAAATAATTTAAACAATTTTAAAATAGCAAAATTAAAATTGGGTTAATTAAAAATATTTGTACATTCACTGGAGTCTCCTGGGAGCACTCATTCAAAAAGTGTAATAGCGGTTAACTGCACGAGGACATTCATAGGCCCTACTGTATGTGTCATATGTGCGTAAGTAAAAAAAAAAAAAGCTTTGCTGCTCTCTAGTGGACGTTTTATATTTGGCACAGTTTTGCACGTGTCAGTAAACGTATTCATGAATCCGCTTTTCGGTGGAGGTGCTGTGAAGTTGAACGATTCACAATCAGCCCCAGACACAATCAGTCAGACACAGGACAGAGAATGCTGTTTTTACACCGCAGAGGCAGGAGCTGCATATAGGCTACCGTGAAATGCATTTACAGAAGGATTACAGTTGCAGAAATGAATTGATGAAATATATCAATATATTAATACACAACATGTATATTACTCAATATGACATATTTTACACTTTGAATGTTAAAACATTGACTTGCCCACTTTATCAACAGGCTTGGCAGTACAGTACATGTTCCCATTCACCATAGGGTAAAAAAAAAAACCTTCAATAAGGAGTTCTAAGCAAGTTTTCGAAGTGTGAGGTGGAGGCATTTTAAGGGGCCGCTGGAGACTACATTTAGTTCTCAAATCTCGTTTACTTTTACACGTTTAAATCTTCGGTGTTGAGAGTGGAAACAAACAGTCTCGCCAGATTTCATGCGTTTTCCCCCACGCAAATCAGTGGAATACTTAGGTGTAAATTTGATTGAATTTTATGACAGACATATTCATTTAAATGCTATTGTATTCTGTATATGTTTTTGTTTCGTTCATTATTCAACAATTCTTTCATAATATAGACAGTAAGATTAGGGGAAATGAAGAAGTTCTTTTTATTTCTCAAAAGATCTCAAATATATGGCTACTTTATACAAAATATGATTTCTTAATTAAAACCTTGCTGTTTTATTTTATGGTAAATATTATTGCTAATAATCTATACAGACATAATATACCAGATGAGAAGAAAACATTATATTGTACACAATATAAAGTATTTTATTACACTTCAGAATAACTTTTATAGTAACTGTGTTAAGGTACATGAGATCCCAGAGGGGAGATTTTGGTACTTCTGAAGCAAAAAGACCTGAGCTACTTTAGCCTGTTCCAGATGTCGAACTCCCAAGTCAGTATCAAGGCTGGCTACATACTGCTTCATTGTTATTTTTCATACATTTTACAGAGAAGCAGCCAGAGACTCACTGTGCCTTCAAAAAAATCCAACTGAGGTGTGTAGACCAAAAAAGGTTACCCAAAGTAACTCACACTTGTTTGAGTGTGCAGCCTTTTTTCTTTCAAGCTCTTCATACATTTTACACACATCGTTATTTTTCATACAGTTATCTAATTTCCACCATGACATTTACTGTACTCCAAAACTTAGTAAGTTGTTCCAAAAGTCATCTTAATTATGCCACCTCCTAAATATAAATCATGAATCATTTAAGTCAGTTTGGTATTTGGTATTAAGGGAAGGGACATTCTCCTTCTAGAATGAATTTGATTGGTCAAAAATCTGTGTGGTACAGAATGAGTAAGAATCTGCTAAAAGTAAATTTTTTCAACGTTCAGGAACATGTTAACATATAGATGTGCTAAAATCCGCACAACACGTTTTTTGATTTTATTGGGTCTTTAAGGCCTAACAGGACTGGGACTACAAAAACACTCATGGTCTGTAGTATAACACATACAATCTTAACTTTGAATTAAATTACAACTGCAGAGTAAATGAACGTGCAAACGGTAGAGATCAGATTAACCAAAGTTTAACTGATGAAAACCACAGTGCCTATAAAGGGAAACATCTCTCTCTGGGCTAATCAACAACATCCTGTGAAAAAAGCTGCTGCAAGCTAAATCTCATGTAGCTTTTGAGCACAATCTTTGTTTTATCCAGCTGTATTCAGTGCAACTTATAACATCCAAGTGAAAGATAGAACACCAACATGTCAGAAAAGAATAAATATAAAAACAGATTTGGAAAAAGGATCACCCCACTTGTTTCAGTATTTTGTTGAACCACCTTTTGTTTTAATTACAACCTTTAGTCTGTTGGGATTTGTCTCAGTCTCTACTAACTTTGCACTTCTAGACTTTACAATATTTACCCATTCTTCTTTGCAGAACTGCTCAAGTTCAGTTAAATTTGATGGTGAGTGTTTGTGGACTGCAGTCTTCCAGTCATTGCACAGATTTTCAGTGGGGTTTCAGTCTGGGCTCTGATTAGGCCATGCAAGGACATTCACCTTTTTCTCCTTCAACCACTGTGTGCTCAGTTTTGCTGTGTGCTTTGGGTCACTCTCATGTTGGAAGGCGAACCTTCTTCCCATCAACAACTTTCTGGCAGAGGGCAGCAGATTTTCCTCAAGAATTTGATGGTATTTTGCCCCATCCATTTTTCCTTCTATCCTGACAATTGCTCTAGTCTCTGCTGCAGAGAAACACCCCCATAACAGGATATTACCACCTCCATTTTTTTACTGTAGGATTGCTGTTATTTGGATGGAGAGCTGTATTGGATTTCCGCCAGACATGTAATTTGGTGTTGAGGCCAAATAATGTAATTTTAGTCTCACCTGCCTCAGAATCTTCAAGGTGCGTTTTGGCAAAGCTCAGTTGTGACTGCATGTGGCCTTTCTTGAGGACTGGCTTTTTTCTTGCAACCCTCCACATTTGTGGAGAATTTGTGATATTGTTGTCACATGCACACAATGACCACTCTTTGTCAGGTATTTTGCCCCATCCATTTTTCCTTCTATCCTGACAATTGCTCTAGTCTCTGCTGCAGAGAAACACCCCCATAACAGGATATTACCACCTCCATTTTTTTACTGTAGGATTGCTGTTATTTGGATGGAGAGCTGTATTGGATTTCCGCCAGACATGTAATTTGGTGTTGAGGCCAAATAATGTAATTTTAGTCTCACCTGCCTCAGAATCTTCAAGGTGCGTTTTGGCAAAGCTCAGTTGTGACTGCATGTGGCCTTTCTTGAGGACTGGCTTTTTTCTTGCAACCCTCCACATTTGTGGAGAATTTGTGATATTGTTGTCACATGCACACAATGACCACTCTTTGTCATAAATTCCTGCAGCTGCTTCAGAGTTGCTGAAGGCCTCTTGGTCGCTTCTCTGACCAGTTTCCTCCTGACTCTTTCATCCAGTTTAGAGCGACGTCCTGATCCATGGAGAGTCTATGTTGTACCAAATACCTTCCACTTCTTAATAATAGACTTCACTGTGCTTTTAGGCATTGATAAAGCCTTTGAAATCTTTTTTTTTCTGTATCCATCTCTTGTGCCTCTCTACAACTTTCCCCCGGAGATCTTCTGACAGTGCCTTGCCACCCATAGTTGATTGTTTGTTTCAGTTGCACTACCAAGGACTGACATGCTCCAGGAAAGCTCTTTTCATGCTGAGCTAATCAAAATGACCACAGCTGATCACAGTTGAAAGTCAAATGGTTTGTGTGCCATTGAGAAGGTGATAAGTTAAACCTGATTGACCTTACAAGTCATTTTTAGGAAGGGTTTTTTCCAACTCAGTGATTCTATATTTTTTCTTCTGACATGTTGGTGTTATATCTTTCACCTCACTTTCTTCATTTCAGATTGCAAAGCATCAAAATGTGATTCTTTTCTATACCCACTGTATATTTCTTTGAGAGATGCCTGCAAAACAACACAACTTCCCAAATTCATTTAAATGATGTTCGAAGAAAGTTTTGTTCTTGAAGCCCATTTAAATATCTGGAATTGTTATTTCTGTATTTCTAAGAAATTCTCTGGCTATGTTGTTGCCAGACAGCATGGAGTAAAATAGCATTCATAGCAGTGAAACGGTAACTAAGAATGAGGATGTTAAAATAGGTTGTTGTCTACAGTTTTAAAGTCTGACAGCACATGCTCATCATATGCGTGCTTTACTCTAAGGCATTTGCACAGTTTGTGAATTATGCACTGACAGAGGAAAAAGAGGGAGGGGTAAGCTAAATAAACACAACTACTGATCTCTGTTTATCTCTTTCAGCTAATGTGGTCCCTCAGGACATATGCCAGGCCTTAGATGCAGATTGAGTGTGTGTCTGCGGTAGATGGGCTACCTGTATGTCTTCCTATATATGTGTGAGAGAAAAAATACTCTTGATTTAGGTCAGAAATCAAGAACCTGAAATTGGATTATTAAATATATTTAAGTATGCTGAGGACACACGCAATGTAAGTACAAACACATATATTTTACTTTGAATTGATATTTTGCCTTTACAGAACAGTAGACTTTGCTCTAACATATAGTGATACATTTTGGTAACTTTTTTTAACTATCTTTAAAACTGTTTTCATATTTTGACATTAAAGTAGTATGTTTAATTAGATACTTCATGTATGATTATGCTTATATTCAGTGACTAAGTCTAAATGGAAATAATTATAAAAAAAAAGACCACAAATCATCATCATAGTTGAAAACTGTTTATAATTTTCTTTAATTTAGTTTAACATGCTAAGCTGTTAAAAATACATCTAAACATCTTCTTTTATCTTTTGCACTAGTTAATATTTTCATCCAATGGAATCTGTTTTCATAACATAAGGGTAAGCAGTCACTGTTGATTAAATATTTCATTATTTGATTTTTATTTTTATTTATGTGATAAGACTGCATTTGTCAGTGACTGTCTATTTATACTAATGGATACATTACTGATTATATTTTTTAAAGACTAAAGTGCAAACCACCAAACTGTGGTGAAATCATTATCATGTTTGGCTCGTGTGGGTGAGCTTGAAAATGTTTTCTTATTTTCTTCAGCACCCAGTATGATGCCTTTCTGGACCTTTCTGGTTTTCTTCTGGACTATTACTGAACTCCGAGTAGAGAACTGGGGAGACTGACAGCACTGCATATAGGTGTGATTACAAGGAACAAATAGATTTGATTTTATAAAATATAAGTATAAATGAACACTGATTAAGAAGATGATTCAATTTCATTTTTAAGGATGGGTTGTGCTTGTAGTGACCAGAAACATTGCAAAGACTCTAAAGGGCATGACTATTACAATTCATCAAACTCTAACAAATCTCATGTAAGTATTGCCCTTTTTTATGACTAACTGAATTTTACTTAAAAAATGTTTTTAATTAGTTTCACTTTTACTGAGCTTCAGTGACTTACTGACAAACAAGACCATTTTCAGTTTAACTGTGTTGTATTTGTTAAATATTACTACAGTTTATATTACTACAAATGTATAAATTTCTATTACATGTTATCATTAAAAAACATTAATGAATAAGTAAATTTATTATTTTATTTACAGTTGTCAAGAGATCACAGGAAGCAAAACAACAATCAAGGTAACGCATTTTAGTTTTTGGCATGTCGTGGAGTTCAGGGAAGCGTTTTTCTTTCTAAAATCATTTTGATACATTATATTATTAATGCTGCTGGGTGCAGATCTTGTGTTCTTACAAAAATAAGAAAATAAAGGGCCAGAAACTGTTATGTGACTGTTCACATGTTATGCAACAGAATAAAATGTTACAGATGGAACATGTGTTTATTTGAATTGCACATTTGAACATATTTAACTTTCTTTTCAGATGAAGACATTGTTATTGCTCAATATGACTTCCAGCCTGCTAGTGACAGTGATCTTCAGTTCAAAAAAGGCGACAGACTCAAGATTATTAAAGAGTGAGTAAACAATACCAATACTTTTTTGGTAATATGAGTATAAAATTAAAATACAGCAAATGCGTCCAGCATGTTATACTAAAAGAAGATCTCCACTTGTAAAGGTTTACAATTAATCAAAAGACTTAGTTGGTAAGAACTTTGTTAGCTTAATAAAGTGTGAATGGCATAGTAGGCAAAGTTTTGGGCTAGCAACCAAAATGACCGTCCAGTAAAAATATCAGACTGTTTTGCTCATTCCAGGTGGATCGTCTTTATATTGAGTATGGTTTAGATTTGCTAAATGTATAATAAAAAATAATATATATTTTTTAAAAAGCACACACAAATAATGCAATAAAAAAGATTAAACAGCCAAATGATTACAATAACTAACTTGTCCCATGTTTTTCTCAGGACTGGTGAATGGTGGTTAGCGAAGTCCTTGATCACTGGTTATGAGGGCTATATTCCATCTACGCATGTGGCAAGAGTACACACACTGGAGGTGGAGAGGTACAATAGCAACAAATATTACCGAAATAGGGATATGTTTCAGCAATAGCGCATGGGAAAGAGTGTTGTCCATTGTTCTGAACAACAGCACTGCTGTATTTCGGCCGTAGGCACAAAATGTTCCACTGCTGTTATATGCAATAACATCAACATTTTTGGAATGTCACTCAGAACTAACTGTTCTAATCTGCAAACTTAATCTGTGAAGAAGAATGATATTATAAAGGCTCTGTTTTGTGTTCCAGATGGCTTTTCAAGAACATGAGTCGCAGAGACACAGAGCGTCTTCTGCTGGCACCAGGAAACAAACCTGGCTCATTTCTTGTGAGAGAAAGTGAAACAACCAAAGGTCAGATTCCAATAAATCTCATTCCCTTTGTTTTCACGTGATCACTGAACGCAATTACATCAGCACTTCTTAGGGCCCATAAGCACAAAAGTGCACAATATTTCAAACAGATCCATTGCTAAAATACTGTGCATCACTATCTTTTCTAGCCACAATGTAGTGCAGCAAGAATTCTATACAGCATTAGTTCCGTTTCTACCATAAAATTAAAGAAATACTAAAGAAATTACTTCAAGTAGTCAGTATAATATACTATCACGGTATTTTCAGATGTCAAGGTTCTTGTTTTACCTCAGACCACTCAAACTAAATTAATATTTAAAGGAGCACTGGCTCCACAGCCTCCAAATTTTGTTACTTGTATTTAATTTTGATCAAATCTTTCGCTGATAAAGTGTGCATATTTGAATTTTTCAAAGGTTACAGAGACTCATCTGCTGCTCTTTTTCAAGTTCACATCATGCAGAGAGATGAAAGAGCAAATAAATGTCAACCTATGTACATATATATATATATATATATATATTTATATATATATATATATATATAAATAAATTAATTAAGAAATATAAACTTAATTTAAAGGGAAAATAAGTTTATTTTTATTACCACATTAGCAGACTTTTTTCTTGTTTTAAGAGCAAAGTCACTTAATTTTGATACATTTTTCAGAAAATTATAGTTGTTATATTGTGTCATTTTGCTTCTGAAGTTATTGTATCTTGATGAAGATTTAGATATTTGTACCGAAAAATACATGTGTTTTGCAAGCACTGTAAAATCAGTAAATACATTAAAATGAATAAAGTTAAAATAAATAAAGTTATTACAGTTTTTAAGGTGCTGTAAGCAATGTCAGTCATTTTACTTTCTTAAACTCTCCAAAGACAAGCAAACTTGATGTGAGAAATCCTGAACATGCGAAATTATTCAAAGATTCAGAGATTTCTCTTAAAGGCATGGAATGTTTCCCTGATTATTTTCATCTTTTTTCAGAGCCTAGGGCGACAGGTCTTAGTTCTCGCTACACTTAATGCAGTGATACCTGTCAGATCGCAGGGACATTAAATGTGCGCTATTTCAAAAACTTTGGCTGGTTGTGATTCTGTTCTTCCTGAAAATAACACACTGATCAGCCATGTTATTTAACTGCTGTTTCTGATCCTCTGCAGGTGCTTTCTCTCTGTCTATAAGAGACTCCACCCCAGAGGAATATGATGTAGTCAAGCATTATAAGATCCGAGCCCTTGATAATGGTGGTTACTACATCTCTTCCTCCACAACCTTTCCTTCTCTTCAAGAACTAGTAAAGTATTACTCCAGTAAGTATTGGAGCAAAGACTGTTGCTGTACCAACCCTGTCCGTTTCTTACACTGAGTTTCTTGAGAACTTGACAAACAGTTGCTTTAACCACCAGATAAATAGGTCAGCTTCAGTCTCAGTTCGTATTCTGCACCCTTGTCCCATTTTGGTTTGTTGTGTCTTTTAATAGAACTGTTTACAAGTAACAAAAACCTTTTTCTACATTTTGGTTTGGGCACATCTTGTGCTTTTTTTCCAGACAGAATCAAAACCAGTAAACATGGTTTCATTTCAGTCAGCTTGGTAGATGCTAGTCTTGTTTAATTGAATATTTCTCCCGAGTTTCTTACTTCCCCCTGAACATTCTTGCTCTTTTCCCAAACTACTTTATTGTACGTATAGGGACAGCAGATGGTTTGTGCCAGAGGCTAGGAAGTCCCTGTAAAACTACTGCTCCTCAGAGACCCTGGGCTCAAGATGAGTGGGAGATTCCCAGAGAGACTCTGAAGATGGTGAAAAAACTTGGTGCAGGCCAGTTTGGAGAAGTATGGATGGGTAAGAAGCGGAAGAAAGTTTAGTTGCGCAATGTTGCCCTTGGGTAACAAATCTTTATTCTTTCTTTGCAAGCACATAATTCATATGCAGTGAATATAAAATGATGAGGGGATGACTCTGAATCTAACAATACAAATTCCCTTTTTGGTCACACTAAACCCAGTTGGTCATTTTAAAATATTTTTCTGGCATGGTACAACGTTTGGAGGACTCCTTTTACTTTTTATATACTTCAAGAACACTCTTTAATAAACTATTTTATAGTTTTATAGTCTAGAAACAATATGATTCAAGTTTATTAGAGCGTGTTCTTAATTTTTAAATATGTAGAGTCATATTCATTATTTCGATTTAAAAGTGAATCAAGATGTAACCTACAGTAAGAGTCAGTTTTATTAGTGTTTATTATGCTGATCTCAAAAATCGAAGTCTTTCAATATAATTTATTTTCATTGTTGCAGTGTTGCCTTGATGTAACATACATGAAATTACAATTTTTTTAATTGAATTAAAACATTTTAATCAGATACTAAATTTAATCAGAGATTTAATTCAAATTAAAATTAATATGTCCTTGTATTCATCTCACTTCAGCGTAAAATTCTCATTATACTGGCCTTGAAGTTGTTTGTTCAAGGGCACGTGTCAGTGTGTCATGTGGTTTTTTGTGATATGTTTTAGCCACATGAATGATAAATTAATTGTACGTCAAAGGGGTTTTGACTTTGGCCACCAGGGTCAATATTAATCAGAAGATGCAAAAGCCTCTGACCCATATTCCCCTATTGCACAGTATGTGCTCTTGCAGATCTTCCTGACATGTATTCTTTATATCATTTTTTTATATTATTTGTTTTTTATACAATATTCTAGTTTTATTTTTATCCATTTGAAAATTATTTTATTTGTTTTACATCACTTTATTTAGTAAGGTATATGTTTAAACCAAGAACAGACATATTTTTACTTGAAATTAGACAAAAGGACTGATTAAAAAATACTTTTTTATGGCATACCTGATAATGAATGATTAGTTCTAGGCCCTTTCTCAAGAATCTAACCATGAGGCTAAAAGTATCTGTCCTGAAATCTGTGTTCATTGAGCTGCCGTAGGTCAATGAGATTTTTTTCAAAAGTGTATTTAATAAACCTTCATGTGTCTGCGGCTCTTGTTTGTAGGGTACTACAAAAACAACCAGACAGTCGCCATCAAGACTTTGAAGGAAGGCACCATGGAGCCCGAGGCATTCCTACAGGAGGCTAATCTGATGAAACAGCTCCAGCATGAGAGACTGGTGAAACTGCATGCTGTAGTCACTAAAGAACCCATCTATATCGTCACAGAGTACATGGCTAATGGTTAGTATTACCACAACATTATTAGAGTAATAAACCATTTCTGTCAGGACCACTATTGTCAAAGATGATTGACAATTAGCATACAGTTTGGATTGGAGGTATGGTTCTTTTCTGGGCAAGAACTTCCTGCGCATCCATGCAGCCTAGCATTGATGAGAGCAGGAAGAGCAGCGATAACCCCCCAGGGTAAACAGAACAGAACCAACATAAATGTATTGCAGATATCGTTAAAGTTCAATAATGTTATGCACACATTTTAGAATTAGTCTGATTCAAAGGAGAATCAGAAGGCTGAATCCCGACGGACAGTGGAGGAGCTGGGGATGGAGGAGGGTAATAAGCTATTGAGCAATGTGAAAATTGCTGATAATACTGAGGGACCTTATGTATGAATGCTTAGATAAGTGTCGTATTCCCATAGGTAGATGGGGATCAGCTGAGAGTCAGCTGATGCGAGCTTGACTAACGTGACCTGCCAGAACTAACGTTATGCTAGATTTCAAATTATGACAACTGTTCAAACTATACAATTGTTATTTTCCTATTCAAGGAAGCTTGTTAGACTTTCTGAAGACGGATGATGGCCATAAATTAAAACTTCCCAAGCTGATTGATATGGCTGCACAAGTAAGAATAATTTCATTTTTTTCATGATTTCACTTGATTGTCTTAGCTTAGTAGAAATTAATTGATATTTCTCTGGCAATGCAGATTTCAATCTTTATGGAACAGGATACATTTAAATGCATTGCATGAAAACCTGCACATTTTTAATTAGAGTTAATTCATACACCCTTTGTATACATCAGTTTCAACTTCTGTAACTATTTTTAGAATTGTTTTGCACCAGAGACTGTCAGGAACATGTAGAGGAAATGGTCTTTGGTCTTGTAAGCTCATGGTCTGAACATTTTTTTGAACATTTTTAGATCTCAACACTTCTAACAACCACCGCAAATTTAGATCAATATCTTTCGGAAGGATGTTACGTACATTTTTCCATTAACCTGAAGCCCCTAACATGCATGACTGTGATCTTGCTCTCTGTGTGAGAGCAGCTTCCTGTTAGAGCCCACTATGTTGCTGCTAACTTTTTTATGGTCTGCATTGCAAATATACTGTAAATGCAATGATATAAATCATGCAAATGGTTTATGTATGTACTGAAAGGCTAAACCACGTTAAGGTTAATTTTGAGTTCATCATAAAAATCATAAATCATTGTGTATATTTATTTAGTTGTTTTATGCCATATCAGCTTATAAGGATATTTCATTGCAAGAACAGGGTAGAAACTGATAAAAAAAAAGCGCCTGTTAAGTTTCTACCCTGTTCTTGCCATTAAATAATATCCTTTGATATAGCATAAAACAAACAAATACATAAAGTAATGCATCAAATATTTTTGGAGTGATTTTAAATAATATCAGTGACAACAAAAATTTACAGTACAATTTTTTGAAAAACATATTTGAGAAACGCCATTATAAAAATGACAGAATATTCCACTATATTATATTCAGTATATTAATTTCTCATAAAAATGAAATGCATAATTGGCTGTTATTTCATGTTTTTTGATTATTGTAACAGTAAATAATGCTACTCATATACTGACAGATCACTTCACACTCTTCCCTTATTACTCTCTATGTAACAGATTTCAGAAGGAATGGCTTTCATAGAAAGGAAAAACTACATTCACAGAGACCTGCGTGCCGCTAATATTCTAGTCTCTGAGACCCTGCACTGTAAAATAGCAGACTTTGGCCTTGCCAGGATCATAGAATCTGAATACACTGCACAAGAAGGTGAGTACACTAATTTATTCCCACAATGCAGTGTTTTTTCCACTAACACAGATGAATTGGCATTAGTCAGTGCTGACATTTGATTTCGAATGAGATGAACTGACATATTTGACCTTTAAAGTTGAGTACGAGTTACTGATATTCAAAAACATTTTCTTTTCGTGATGAAATTTCCATGTTGTCTCTTTTTTAAAAAAACCACATTAAGGCAGAATTTTCTTTCCCTGGTGTTTTATTTATAGTATTTTTTGATCGTTTTTTGATCTCATGCATGCATCTCATGCATGCATTAGTTTTCCATGCATGCATCTCTGTTCGATACCACTTTTATGAAAACCCCATTTGTCATCTGTAATTGCGTGTTCAGGTGCAAAGTTCCCTATTAAATGGACGGCCCCTGAGGCCATCAACTTTGGTACTTTCACCATCAAGTCAGACGTGTGGTCCTTTGGAGTTCTTTTGACAGAGATTGTCACATACGGCAGAGTGCCGTATCCAGGTAATGGGTTTTTCTCTCTTGGGTTTTGTTTTACATTCAGAACAGTGTAGGATAGATGGGTAGATCTTTAACAACCTGGCTGTACTTTCCTCACAATTTCAGGCATGATGAATCCAGAGGTGATCCGCAACCTTGACAGTTACTACAGGATGCCGTGTCCAGATGGATGTCCGGAAGAGCTCTATGACATCATGCTGAAGTGCTGGAAGGAAAGGCCAGAGGACAGACCCACTTTTGATCACCTACAGGACATACTCAATGACTTTTTCATTGCTACTGAGGGCCAGTACGAGATGCACCCATAACCTCAATGCAGAACCAATACATGAACTGAAAAGAGGATGTATAAAAACATATGGAATGAAAGGATGGACTAAACTCCGGACCAAAATATGGATTATGGGGAATATACAAAAGCAACAACAATGCATCCTTGTATATCAGTAAATATTTTTTACACTTACTGTATGTCGCTTTTGTCAAGGTTTAGTGAATTTCTATAATTTGTTTTGTCTTGTGGGCTTCTTAGGGTATTTCATAATTATTTAAAGGTGAAATGTGTATTTTTTTCAATAAGATAATTTCTTCTATCGCAGCTTAATATGCAGACAGCTGTGTGCATTCCAATTGTGTGATTGCTCTTAAACACTGTGGCTCTGTGGTGCTGTCAGAACATTGCTGGGTTAGTCTGACCATTTGACAAGCCCAGCACAACATCATTGCCCTAACCAATTGTATGAGACTGGGGTGGAGCCATCTGTTTATCCAACCAATTGGAAGACAGGGTGAGTGTTTTACCAGTCATTATTTATGCAATTAAATTTGACGATTTTATTCACACAGAAATTACACACTTCTCTGATAAAGCTTTTGGAAAATTTAGATCTATGACACTTTGGATTTTAACAGCCAGTAAACAAGATCCTCTATATCTTAGTCAGAAATTTCAATAAAACCATGCACAGATATTAAACATTATTTCTGCACAGTACCTACGATTCATTTGAACTCTGAACTGATTTGAAAGTGTTTTAAATGAACTGACTACATGATCAGTGAAGTTTCATGCAGGAAACCATAAAAGGAACATAGTCATTAGTTAGACTTCCTCCTGAGATAACAGACCGTGGCTGTTCCGTTCATCAGGAATAGATTAAAGACTTAGATTACACAGTGAAGAAGTTAGTGATTATCTGATCATATACACTACTATTTAAAAGTTTGTGGTTGGTAAGACTTTTTAATGCTTTTGGAAAAACTCACCAAGGCTGCATTTATTAGACCAAATATGCTGTAAAAACAGTAATAACATTAAGCTTTCAAGCTTTTCAATATTTCAATATATTTTAAAATGTAATTTATTCAGATTATGGCAAAGCCATTACTTTGGCATCTTACATTACAAAGACATTGCACTTTATTGGTTTGAAGTCCTCATGCCTCCCTGCAGCAGTTCGATGCATGTTTACGCAGGTGAGCATGTAAACATGTGTATGTGCAATAACTGTTTACAGTTCATTAAACAAGTACGAAAAATATAGTTTAAACCATTTCCAATAAATATTTGTAAAGCTTATTTGGATTTTACAAAATTAAAAGGGATGTTTCTTTTTTTTCTGAGATCTATGAATATTCCGCTAACATTCCCATTGAGTTAAAATTAGGATTTAAATGTTTAAAAAGCAAGATCTTAAAATGTTAAGGGAACATTCCAATTTCATAATTTTTATCATTATGAGAACATTATATATTTTTTTACATTACTTTTCTCTAAATGTTCTGAAACAAGAAGCTAAACTTAAACATCCAAAACGTTTCAGCAAAAAAATTCCATCAAAAAACAAAACTTTGAACAAATATTCTGTTAATGTCACTTGAACATTTGTTCATAACTTTGAGAGAACCTTGCCAGAACATTGCCAAAGTTCTGATAAAGTTTCCTCTTAGCTGGGTCCAGCCTTCACAGTCTCATCATCCTTCAGTAATCATTCTAGTATGCTGATTTGTTGCACAAGTGGCATTTCTTATTATCAAAACAGTTGTCTGGGTTAAAAACGTAAACAAATGTGTTTCATTTTTGCACTTTTTACATGTCTTTCAAAATGTTCACCTAATAGAAGGTGTAATTATAAACTTAACTGATATTTTTAATAGCACCCTCTTAATTTAAAATGCTTTGGGGCACATCTCTCCTATTTGTCAGCGTAAAGCTCTGGTTCTGGGGGCTCAGATGAATATGAGAAATGCCCAAGATTCATACAGCTCCACTCCCTGTCTTAAACTCACCCCCGGGGCTTTATATGTTTGTAGATAACTAAGTGAGAACGCAACCAACACCCAAGAGCTGCTCCTGTGGTTTCCTGCCTGCCAGTCTGCAGCTGAAACAGGAAGCAGTGAGTCAGCATTCTTCTCAAGATAAGCACTCTATGGCTTGGAATTCCAAACATGCTGCTGAAGTTTTTCCTCAGCATTCATGCAAAATCAAAGGTGTCCAGTTAGGCAAAATATTTCTGGGAAGTGCATGCTGAAACCTAGTTTAGATTCATCTGTGCTTTCAAGCTGTGTTAATGATGCAGGACATACTTACACAAGCTTACTTGATATCTCTTCATATGTTAAGTAATATTGCTTTGATGGAATGATGATATTTAACAGGCTGATAAATAAACTGGCTCATCAGTGATAGTGGCTTTGTTGACTGTGGCAGTGGAAATTAATCATTACCCAGAGTACATTTACTGTCATACACTTTAATGAGGTCATCATCTAGCTTTTCACTCCAATACTAGAAGAATGCATCATTAAATTTGTGAAATGCATATGACTGATTGGCCAGCTCTCTAAACCATGTGATTTACGTATGGAAGATCCATTATTCTAATGCATCGTCACAAATTGCGTATCTGCAAAAACTTCAACCCATTATAAAGATTACAAAAAAACTGATTTAAATAACCAGGTTGGCCATGTTCCTTTAGGATGAAAAATCTCTTTATGCTTCCAACTACTCAACATCTTCTCTTGGCTGAATCAAACTGTCTGATATTGAATCATTAAGTCCCTGCGAATGTGCATGTAAGGCCAACTGTTTGCTTTTTTAAATTCCAAAACTGTAAAATCTATTTGATCAGTGTCATCAGCCATTTTTAACACTTTTAGCAAAGACCAGTTACAAATTATTACATTTGCAACACAGCTTTAGAGTGTGCCAGACCATTCACCCCATACTTTTAATGTTTTGATAATGTAGTATGAAAATAATTTACAACTAAAATATAAAAGGAAATTGAATCAAGATAAGCTTTGACAAGTTTTAAAAAAAATAAGTTTGAAGGCTATATAGGCCTTTGAGACTGACATCCTGAAGAACTATGCTATCATAACCCCAGTCAGAAAATGCTGTATCTTGAAGTGATGTATTCAGTTTGTGCACATACTCATTTCCTCTTTCTGTCTCTCTCAGTCATTTCCACCAGGGGGTAGTCAAGCACAGGAGTTATTCCCTTTCGAATGGGAACTCTACGCTGCATTCCCTAGAGGGCACTATGGGGAATGCTTCGGCATGACTGGTGTCTGAAGCATGAGTCTAAAATCGACAATGAAGTTGACATTGGCAGGCAGCAGTCTATGACGTCACAACTGGTGCGGCAAAGAGTATAAAAGTGCACCTGTAAAATAAGTCATCCTCTTTCTTGTCTTCAGGAGACAGTGTTTCAGTGTGTGTCTAAACAGGCAAACTATACCAAGCACTAGCACCTCAAAATTTAGAAAGTGTGTTAATCTGTGTCAGCGTTTCTTGACACCTGATGTCACACATATTATGTGCTTTATGTGCCTGGGTGAGAAGCATGCACGCTCAGTCCTTGAAGGGGCTTTATGCATGCATTGTGAGCACTTTTCTATGAGAAAGCTTCGCTCTCGTCTGTCCCTTTTCTTGAGGAAATCGGGGACAGCCATCTACACCTCGTGGGTCAGGACCCGCTGCAGCTGAGGTGAGTAGGAGACTGCAATCGTGGGGTTCACAGGTGGAGCTTGCCGACAAGTTTGAGAAAGGTATAAATATTTATCATTTGTCTTGGCGAGAGCAAACTGCTGGATGATGATGTGCTGTCTCTCACGTCATTCGATCTGGCAGCGAGTGTACTCCTCACCTCAAGCCAAGTTGAGCAGGAAGAGGCTGCTGAGATCGACCATGTCTCTGAGCACTCACAGCCCGCCTGCCCTGCATATGACAAGTTGTTGGACGTTATGTCTGACGCCATGGAAAGATTAGATCTGCCCTGGAAGCACGAGTCCCTCGGGGTCACCTCGATGAACGTCCTTTGTAAGGACATAACCGCCCAGCTCGTACGAGTCTTCACTTTCTCCCAGATCTTCACACTGAGGTGCAGAGATCTTGGGGAAAGCCATATTCTGCTCACATTCATTATTCACAGGAAAACTATGCTGATGTGGAGGGGATGCTGGAATATGATTATGCGTCGATGTCTCTGATTGAAGAGATGCTGGCTAGCTATCTCTTGGTTGGTGAGGCATCCGCATTGAAGACACCATCTCTGACGACTAAGCCGGAGAGACATCTTTGGGTAAACTTGGCGGATATCGGGGAGAAGGAGAAAAACTTTCTCCTCAATGCACTAGAGCTTGGCTAGGCAGCTTGTTAAGTTGTTAGGCTCTATTTGAGCCTCCTTGGCTACTGCGAGCATCATCAGGCCTCCTCTCACTATACAAGATTATTTTATTGAGGACTCCCCTCGCCAGCTCCACTAGGACAGCTTCTGTGAGTTTTAGGTTCTCTGTGAGCCTCTTTACTCGATGTCCTGAGCTTGGGGTGTAATTAGGCCTTCTCTCGTTTTAGAGAGTCGTCAAGCTGAGGCCTCCACTCCTAGAGCTCGGTCATCTACTGCGAGCATCGTCAGGCCTCGTCTCACTATAAAGAGTTATTTCTTTGAGGCCTCCGCTCACCAGAGCTCCACTAGGGCAGCATCTGTGAGTTGTAGGCTCTCTGTGAGCTTCCTTTTAGGATGTCCTGAGCGTGGGGTGTAGATAGGCCTCCTCTCGTTTTAGAGAGTTGTTATGCTGAGGCCTCCGCTCCTAGATCTCTGCCATCTACTGCGAGTGTTGTCAGGCCTCCTCTTGCTACAAAGAGTTATTTCTTTGAGGCCTCCGCTCACCAGAGCTCCTCTAGGACAGCATCTGTGAGTTGTAGGCTCTTTGGTCATGCGTAGCCAGACCTTCAGACTGACAGCAAAAGGTCTGGCAACATTGGCCACTTTGAAGAGGCTTTATGACTGACAGGTAAAGCAACCAATCACGTTTTGTTTTGTGTCGCTTCATGTTTAGGGGGGTGGAGATGTCACCACAATAACAGACCAGTATGACCAGTGTAAATCCCTTTGACATATTTGAAAGATTCTATGCAGCAAAATTTAAATATTCCACATACTTTTGAAAATCCAGCGTTTAGTTGACCCTGATAAGCGCTCATTGTCACAGTTGTAAACATGATGGCTTTCTTCTTCCATGAGGCGTTTGGCATCACTGCATCTTTGTTTCCAGGCAGAACATTAAAGAACGTGACACACATGTCTCCCGGAAAATCCTGTATAATTCAACCAATCTGATGATGACTTAGAAACTCCTGAAGTGTTTCCAATTTTGTGTGCCATATGCATCCAAAGTTCAGCCTACGGTCTGTGGGTGTGACGTCTGAGGCTGAGACTATAGGCTCTCTGTGAGCCTCCTTACAGGATGTCCTGAGCGTGGGGCGTAGTTAGGCCTCCACTCGTTTTAGAGAGTCGTCATGCTGAGGCCTCCGCTCCTAAAGCTTGGCTAGGTTGTATGGCATGTCGCTAGGGCACCTCTCATTAAGAGGCATTATATTTAGGCCTCCACTCTGTAGAGCTTTGCGGGCCAGTTGGCTCTGAATGTTAGGCTCTCTGTGAGCCTTCTTGG